AAGTTCTCCTGTCTTCGACTTGGGCTGGAAGGATTTCTTGTCTGAGGATTCTTCTGCCCGCAAAGGGGCGAGTGAATCGGGCCTGATGGCCGCGTTCAGGCTCTATCCCTGCCCGCGGTCCAACTCTCAACTGCAACTCCAACTCTACTGATTTCTGTCGACTGGGGTCCTGCTTATATTGACGCCGCAACAAACTGGGGCGGGTCCGTCGGCGTCAGGGTTTTCTCGATAATTCCAAAACTGCATTAATTCTGTCTTCTCCATTATCGCTATTGTTTTCCCCCTACTTCCTCGCAGTACCTTTGGTGGGGCGGCGCACATCCATCTCTCTTAGTCTCTCGTATGTCAGGTGACCGCTTTTCAACCAATCGTTCCTGATCGAGCATTTCTTTCCCTTTTCTTCCGCAGGTCACGTGATCGTATTCGACCAATTGTTATTGATCAAACATTTCTTTCCCTTTTCTTCCGCAGGTCACGTGATCGTATTCGACCAATTGTTATTGATCGAACATCCTCTCCCCTCTGTTTGCGGGCGTGGTTACATCGTTCTTGTTTAAAAAAAAAATCCAATTTTGCCCCCTTTTTGCACGTACGCAAAATGACAATCTTTGGCTTTCTCTCACCTGGACTTTGTCAAACAGCCCGCTGCTAATTAGTCTTGACTTTAGAAAGGATCTTTTCCGCCTTCTTGGCGCCCTCTGTGAGCCAAAAGCAATTGTCCCTCTTTTTACCTCTTTGTTTTACCTGATAGTCGAAAATCTTAATTATCTACATTGAAATGTCTCTACTTTATTAACGTGGGTGTCCAATTCTTAACAGGTCTGTATATCGTTCCACCGGTCCTCCCCTCAACCCAAAGACATTTTTTTCTCTGATTAAAAATTGTTTCATTGTTCCCAAAATTTCTCTTTATCCAAATTGATAAGGTGTCTTTCCATGCAAAAAGTAGGCTAGGTGCTCTGACCGACATTCTTACCAAAATGACTTTCGAAAATCGGCCAAGACGCTGACCTAAATCTCTTTCTGACTCCTATCTCTACCCTCAATTGGGTCATGCGTCATACATTTCTCTTTCTTTCTTTTTTTCTTCCCTTCCTTCCTTTTCCTTTCTTTCCTTCTTCTTTCCTTAGGATCGTCTAGTACACTCTTAGTGAATTATTTTCAACTCAGTTATTTTCCGTTTAAAAAAAAAAATTAACAACCTGTTTAGTAACCGAGTAAGAAAAAATTAAATCATATTTCTATGAATATTTCTAATAATGCAAGGTGCCACATTTGTGATTCTTGGGAAAGGTACGAATCCTCTTCTTCTCCCCCCCGAAGCTATGGGTAAATAGCAGGACAGACCGGATTCTATAACTTTGGATAGCAACTGGTCTACTGCAGAAAGAAATGGCAACCTACTGCAGGAAAAAAATCTGCCTCGTCAGTCATGTATCGAAAGATACATGATCGCCTAAGCGTGTATCACGCATGGCACATAACTGAGTGAATGACAACTTCAAATATTAATCCTCTTGCTCCCCACCCCCAGCTACGGGTAAATAGCAGGACAGACCGGATTCTATAGCTTTGGATAGCAACTGGTCTACCGCAGAAAGAAATGGCAACCTACTGCGGGGAAAAAATCTGCCTCGTCAGTCATGTATCGAAACATACATGATCACCTAAGCGTGTATCACGCATGACACATAAACTGAGTGCCAAGCCACGAGCTTCGAAGAAAGATGGTCCTCTTTAAAACCTACAGAATTCATTCACCCGGCGCCATTTTTAATTGTCGACCCAAGAAAGCAGTTGCATACAGACAGTTTAGAGTCTGGTGCCATTCATCCCATCTACATCAAAGTCTTAATCTATTCAGGTTATTTCGGAATATGAGTCGTAATGTTTTGGTTTTGTAGCAATTGGTGGTATTGGGTGAAACTATCCCGAGCGCAGCCTATTCTATATTTAATTTCCTTAACTCTTATACTTTTTGTTACAACTGATACATACACCGGGGTATTTGGAATGGTCACCAGTAAAAGGATGAACCCGAAATGCGATTTACAGGCCGGAGACACTAGAATCAAGCAGGTGCGGAAGTTTAAATATCTGGGAGGTATTTTGACAGAGGACAGAAAGTTCGACACTGAGATAAGAAGACGCATTGGAATGGCCAAGGACGCATTCCAAAAGCTATGCAGAGCATTACAAGACAAGAGGATTTATTTGGTAACAAAGAAAAGAGTATTGAGCTGCTACGTGAATCTATCCTCCTTTACGGCAGCGAATGTTGGACGGTCTCCTCAGAGATGAAGAAGAGGCTCGTGGCGGCGTGGGTATGGTTCTACAAAAGGATGCTCAGGATATCATGGACCGAGCGTGCGAGCAACGATGAGGTCTTAGAGAAACAAGAAGGAAGCTTATACTTAACACCAGGAAGAAGCAGCTGAAATTTCTGGGACACGTAATGAGAAAGGAAGGATTGGAGAATCTGATACTCACGGGTCGAATAGAGGGAAAGAGAGACAAGTGAAAGTAACGCATGACATACCTGGCGGGCTTAAGCAAGTGGATGACAGAACGTGGTCTGGGGGAGGTGGAGGAGAGAATAAACTTATTGAGAGCTACAAGGGATAGGGAGGAAGTGGAGAGCCATCATCGCCTACGTCCTGAAGACACACGTCACATAAAAAAATCATAATTCGGCTTCTTTCTTGGGTAGCAAGTATGTTATGCCCTATGATATCTTGCCTGTCCCCTGCCTTCAAATTCTTGATATAGAAGAACTGCCAGCAAGGCTCATTCTGGGGAGCTTTGAAGCTGTATATAGGTGTTGAAAGAAAAATGACGCTGATATATACATTTAGAGATTCTTGATAAAATTCAAAGTAGAATCTGCAATGTTGTTGGTCCTGGCCTGGCATCTCGGCTTCAGTCACTTGCCCACCGCCGTAACGCTGCCTGTGCCTTTTCTATAAATACTAGGGTAATTGTTCTGATGAAATTTGCTCTTTGGGGTTTCATTTTTAAATGTTGTTATTTTAAACCCGCCCCGCCTAGCCCTGCCCCGCCTAGCTCCGCTCCGCCCCACAGATGAATTGTACTTGTTAGGACTTCATCAAAACTTTGAGATATTATGGTGTAGTAAGAATTTGTTGGGGCCAACCACCTTCTCATCAGAATGGACTGATCTCTCTACTACTAATAGGACAGTTCTAGAGAGTTCTGGGAAGATCAGGTGACCATCACACTTCCGTCTCTCTACCGGAAGATACAGTTGGACTTTATACTCTTTCTGATTGTTACTGACTAACCTGCGTTCGTTTGACTACTAATCTCTCTGTTGTAAATACCTCTTCAGATATAACAGTATTTTTCCCTACGTATGTGTTTGTCCTTATTTCAATACACGCACGGGAAAACACTCAACATCTCAACAGAATGTTAATTAAGAATTGTTTTGGTGTAAGGTATACTGTAATATATTTGGGTCAGTTATCGTGGCTAGCTAAGATTAAGATAAGACAGATTTAAGACCAGCCTTCCCCTATCCCCGTCCTGGCCTTGTGCCACAATTTTGTATTAAAACAAGATAAATATTATTATCCTCTTTGATATTTAAACTTTATGAATTTAATCGCAGAACTAGATTGGTAACAAGGTCTCATCATTTTACGATTGAATTGGTTAGATGTAACCGGAAGTGATTTGCTAACAGTTTCTTTTCTTGCACTACTCACCTGTGGTACTGTCTTCCGGTTTCTTCCTTTCCTGCCAACTTTGATCTTCAAAAATTTAACTGTAATGTCAGTCGTTATCTACTATTTTTTTGTTCTCCTTAATAATCGCGTGTGGACATGCGAATACCAGACAAGACGAACACAGCCTAATATGGCGAAAGAGCAACTTTTCATCCTCCATCTTTAAAGCGTTCCTTTGTAGACAAAACGTTAACATTCAACAAAGTTTGACTCGCAGCTAAAAGATGAAAAGTTTTCAATCTAAAACACCGACAAAGACACGTTGCGGTCAGTTTATATTACAATGAAAATCGGCTACAAACATTTGCAATGTTCTGATATTTAACGAGGCCTCAGGAAAACTTCCATGAACAGAAAAGTTGGTTTTCTGTGTCGCGCCAGGTTTTTCTCGTCTGAGTCCATCCTTCAAATCTATAAATTCCTCCTTGCATTGAATACTGTTGCTATACATGGTCTGAAGTGGGTTTCATGTTGCCTGTTTACTTATTCATGTCCTCGGCTAACTTCGATTGAATAAATACAGACTACTTCTGTTATATCAGTAACTGTATCAATTCAAAATGTTTTTTTAATGAAAGTACTTTAAAGTAATTGAAGAAGATAGACTCTTTTACATCTAAACATGATGCCGTTTTTGCTCCATTTTAATTGAACGCTTTTTCTGATCGACCAGCTGTGTATGGCTGCTAGTTTTAAATATCTTTATCTATTTCTCATGATCTAATGCCCGTATGTTGCCATGTTTTTTTTTTATATGTTAATAAACGCAAAAAAGGGAATATAAAACTCAATTTTCAGAACAATAGGTTAAATGCAACAAATTTGACATGCAAATTATGCAAAATAGGAAACATGTGATTATAAAAGAACTGTTGTTTCAATGGAATGTGGCTTTACGGAACAAGAGGGTGCAACAATCTGACCCGACACCTCCCCCCCCCACATGACCCATGATGGTCAGAGATAGGAAGGTGTGGAGGTCAACCAGGGTGGAGTTCCTCCAGCTGGAGTGAAAACACCTGCGATTTGTATACACAGATATCCCCAGAAGTGCAAGTTTGTGGATAAATATAATTTTCAAGAGTTAAAGTAGGAATGGGTATAAAATTGTCTGGAAGGGGAAGTAGATTCATGCCTTTCCAAAGTCTATTTGCCCATAAGTGAATGTAATGAAACCAACTGGAATTGGAACTTGGCTTTCTGATTAACAATTCTGTGCCATTATCTATTTACACCACCTACACATCCAAGCTTACAGCATCTGGTATTCTCAAGCGGTCACCCATCTAGATACTAACCAAGCTCAATGTTGCTTAACTTCAGTGATTTTATGGGAACCAATGTTTCAACATGATGTGGCCGTAAGCCCAGAACATTTGAGCAAAAGGCCCAAAATAAGCTTTTATATATATATATATATATATATATATATATATATATATATATATATATATATATATATATATATATATATATATATATATATATATATATATTCTTCTGTAATCGTCAAGAAAATGAAATCCGTGCCTGTAGGGTGAATTTGTGCAATGTGCTCCTTTCTGAGCATTGAGATGCCATTCAGGTATTGATGCCAATGGTAAACACACTGTCACCCATCTAGGTAGTAACCAAGCTCAATTTTGCTTAACTTCAGTGATTTTATGGCATTTATATATATATATACACACACACACACACACACACACACACACACTTTCTTTTGTAATCATCAAAAAAATGAAATCAGTGCCTGTAGGGTGAATTTATGCAATGCGCTCCTTTCTGAGCATTGAGATGCCATTCAGATATTCATGCCAATGGTAAACAAGCTGTCACCCATCTAGATACTAACCAATCTCGATGTTACTTAACTAGTGAACATACGAGGAACTGGTGTCTTTTTCTTTTTGTAATAAATCAAGAGAATTCCATTAAATTGTCAGAGTTAGTCCATTCTAACACAATAAAAATTTAGTAAATAATAAAAAAAACTAGTGCATGGAAATGATTGTTCACACACAATGCACATGAAGAATTGGGTTCATTTAGATTCAAGTAATTCATCACAGTAAGCCTCAACGTTGATTAGTAAACTTTTAGTTATTTTTAAAAGCAAAAAAAAAAGAAAAAAAAAAGATCAGCTGACCATCAGTATAAAGGAATTGTTTTCCTGTCAGTATAACTGGACTTGAACTTTTGGCATGCAACTGACAGGTACTTCAACTAGTAAACAGTATTTGAAGATGCTTCTTAAGCATCTTTCAAAAGAGATTCATAGTAAAACAATGCAGGAAAGTTATGAGCAGAACATCAAAAAGACAAAAGCCCAGCACTTAACCAATCAAGTACTCCATGTTAATGCCCATTGTCTGCAGTATCATCAGGTAACATTTTTTTTCCTTCTGTGTTCTCTTGCCTCATCTTAATTTTATTGATTGCTCCAGACATCCAAATGCAATCCAGCATGCACCAGATGCCACACCATACAATAGCAGTAAAAATGCATTATGCATAAAGATTAGTAAACTTTTAGTTTTTAAAAAAGAAAAAAAGAACAGTTATAAAAGGATATAAAGGATTTTTTTAGGTAATAATTATTTAGCGATACAAGTCTTGCTAATTAACCCATAGCTGGGGAGAAGAAGTAGATTCATACCTTTCTCCAAGGGTATTTGCGCGTAAGTGAATATAATGAACCCAACTGGAATTGGAACTCGGCTCTCTGATTAACAATTCCATTGCACCTCCCACACTTCCAAGCTTAGAGTACCAGTATTCCCATGTGGTAACCCATCTAGGTACTGACCAGGCTCGATGTTGCTTAACTGATCATATAGGAACCTGTGTTTGATGTGGCTGTAAGCTGCATGATTTTTAACAACTTCTTCAAAAAAAATGACCTGTGTATAATGCCACCTCTATTTTTTGCTGATGATAAAAACTCACGAAGGACACGAGTATATAAACTGAAGATAACGATTTTCTCCTATCGATGATTAAATGGCTTCAAGCAAATGAATTCTGTAGGTCTAAGAGAGGACCATCCTTCTTCAAACCTTGTTGACTGAACGAGTAGCCACAGAACCATATCATAAGAGAAAATAATGACATAAGCAAAATGGTGACGTTCTGCACTTCATCAAACAAAAGGCGAGAAGGCAATCCTTATTTCAGTACTAGAAAGATCAATAATATTTACTGGACTTGTGAAAGAAACCCATTTTCCTGAAAAATTGTTTTATTATCAGGTCATCCTATAAGTTCTGTCCGAATTTTAACCTTTTGTTAAAATGAACGAAATTTAAAGAGTATTTTATAATGTCTAATGGAGCTGAAAATTATTTTTATGTTTAGATGCATTTAAACTGATCAAATTTTATTTCAGAGAACAATAAAATTAAATTTTGTTTGATTAAAACCCTGCTAACATGGAAGTACCCAAGAATCATTTGAGGCTCATAATGCTTTATGGGTTCAAGAAAGGAAACTCAGCAGCCGAAGTGGCTAGAAACATTCACTCAGTTTATGGAGAGGAATGTGTGAATGAAAGAACTTGCAGAAGATGGTTTGCAAAATTCAGAGGTGGAGATTTCACACTTGAAGATGAAGATCGAACCGGACGTCCAGTTGAGTTTAATGAAAAGCTTCTTGAAGCAGCCCTTGAAGAAAATCCTGCTTTATCAGTTGAGGAATTGGCAGTGGTTCTCAGTTCAAACCATACAACTGTTTATCGTCATCTTCAACAACTTGGAAAAGTTCCTAAACTTGGAAAATGGGTGCCTCATGAATTGTCTGAAAACAACCTCAAATCCCGAGTTGACATCTGCTCTTCTCTCCATTCTCGCCAACTTGTTTCACCTTTTTTGGATAGACTTGTGACTGGCGACGAAAAATGGATGTTTTATAGAAATGTTAAGCGTCGTAGACAGTGGCTTGGTAAAGGGGAAGGAGCCCAGCCACAGCCGAGAAGGGAACTTCATGGGCAAAGGGTTCTTCTTTCAATCTGGTGGAATCGCCAAGGAATAATCCACTTTGAATTCTTACTACCTAATGCAACAATTAATGCTCAAATATACTGTCAGCAATTAGAGCGTTTGAACCAAGCTTTGAGGAAAAAAAAGACCTGCTCTAGTGAATCGAAAAGACCCGACACAGCAAGAATCACGTCACAAAAGATCGAAGAACTTGGTTGGGAGAAAATTCCTCATCCACCTTATTCTCCCGATCTTGCTCCTTCAGACTACCATTTGTTTCGTAGCTTACAGAATCATTTGGAAGAAACAGCTTTTGTAACACAGGAAGAGGTTAAAACTGACATTTGTGAGTTCTTCGAATCAAAGCCAAAAGAATTTTACAGTAATGGAATTAGTAAGCTTGTTAATAGATGGAAGGAAGTCATAGATAATCAGGGAAAATACATTGTTGATTGAATCTGTAATTAAATGTAACATTTAGTCACTTGTTTTCTTTATTCAAAATTCGGACAGAACTTATGGGATGACCTGATAGAAAGATTTTGTAAATTGCTTAAAAATTAATGGATTTAATTTTAATGGCTTTTACTACTTCAAACGTCTTTATAGTGGATACTATTTTAACATTTTAATGACTAATTTATTTAATTTAATGAATATTTTTAATTGACTCCGTAGAAAGAATATTGGACCTAAAACACACACTCGACCTCATATGGAATTACTAAAGATGCAGATAAAATGATCGGCAACTGGTTTAGTCTTTTTTTTGGTGGGGGTCTTATTTATGTTGCGGCTCACGCGAGTTAGTCAAATAAATTTGGGGCTCGTGACTGGGATCTCTCACAGCAAAAATTTATGTGGAGGCCGATAGCGATAAGCCACAGGGTAAAATGTCGGTCGGAGAAGCTTTCTTACGGGAACCGTAACTAGACCAGCTAACTAGGCCAAAAAAAAAAAAAAAAGATGTCGTGCTAGATATAAGGGAGGCATTTAGAATTGGATGTTAGGAAGAAAATAATGAAGTCAAGTTTCGTTTGGACAATAGCAGAGGACATGGGAGATGACAATATATTTAAGGAAGAAATATTAAGTCAGTTACCTATGTCCCAGGCACAAATCGATTTAGAAAAGCCCAGGATAATCACTAGAGCGAAAATCGAAAGGAGACTCACAGAGCGGGTTGGGGGTGGGGATAGATTTCGGCAGTTTGATTTTTACGTGAATTTTTATATCCTTGTTTATACAGAATTTAAACTCTTCGATTAACACCAACTGCTTTAATTTTTCTTAATTTTCTTAAATATTTCTTGCCGTATTTCAGCCGTAGAAATAAATTTCTTCTTGTCACAAAAACTCGACATATGTCCGAACATCTATCTTTCTATAATTCCTGAATCTTTGGCGGTTTGCCTGCGGAATGAGTTCATAATTTTTGAGAATGGCTGATTTTCTTTCTTTTTATGTGCCATGTTCTTTCAGGATGTAGGCGATCATGGCCCTCCACCTCCTCCTATCCCTTGCAGCTCTCAACAAGTTCCCTCTGCTTCCTTCCCAGACCACGTTCTGTCATGCGTTGTTTTCCCTTGTCTCTCTTTCCCTCTATTCGACCTGTGAGTATCAGATTCTCCAGACCCTCCTTCCTCATTGTGTGTCCAAAAAACTTCCGCTTCCTATTCCTGATGTTAAGTATAAGCCTCCTCCTTGTTTGCAACCTCTCTAATACCTCATCATTACTCGCAACATATCCTTAGCATCGTTCTGTAGAACCACATCTGTTGCCTCGTGTCACTTCTTCATCTTTGAGGAAATCATCCAACATTCGCTGCTGTGAAGAAGGACATATGTCCCGTAACAGCTCAATATTCTGTTAACAAACAAGTATAATAATCGTGTGTATATATATATATATATATATATATATAAAATGTTGTATATAAGTATATGTACTATTACACACACATATATATATATATATATATATATATATATATATATATATATATATATATATATATATATATATATAATAGAACTCTTATACAGAGAATATTTAAAAAAAATTATATTATTCTACACACACAAAAATATATAATGCATATTATGTTACATATAGAATATATTACCTAATATTTTATAATGTATATGCAATATATTATATATACTTTATATATTGTGTAATATATATTTTAATACATTTATATTATATATATATATAAAAGACAGTATAATAATAAATAGATGAAGATAAACAAAAATTATGTAACAACATAAATCCTCTTATCTGTCCTCTTAATAATATATGTCACACTGAATCATTAGTATACCAGTGCAATATCTCATCTATTGATGATCCAGACATCGGAAAAGTCAACATTGGATGTACAAGACATGATTTCAATAAACTTTTTAACCTACAAGAAAGTTCTTTTAGCATAAATAAATCCTGAATTCAGACATCCCTATTGAAATATTTCTGCCACTTAAAAGAAAACAATAAAACACCTACGGTAAAATGGAAATTAATAAGAAAAGCTAGAATATGTACGTCTTTAAATGACCCATGTCCTCCATGCATCGTTCTCTGCTTACATTCTCAAAAATTTTCCTGATGTTAAAAAAATAAAAACTGATAAATGAAATATACATATTTATATTTAAATAACAATTATTAAATAATTTAAGTAATTCTATTACTTTTGTTTTAAAAGATGTATAGTCTTATTAAAATTAAGAATATTTTAAAATTGTACTTCAATACGTATTCATATACAAACAACCCTTTTAGAAAAAAAACCTTTATGTATACAAGTACAAATTTAACGCCGAAACAAAAGTGCCAAAAATCTTTGTCATTGAAAAGGGCCAGACATGTTGAACTATCATCATTCAAAAAAGGCACCCCTACCTTGGCTTAACCTCTGTTTGAAAGTAACAAATATGTTGAAACAATAGTTGTCAATGAAAAAGAATACCCTACTGCCTCTCGTTAAAATGATGGGATTTCCCCATATCCATAGAAACTAATATGAATGTATATGCTTATAAAACTCAGTAAATTTCAAAGTTATTCCAAAATTTGCTTGAAAATGAAACTGAACTAGGGACTTTAATCCTATAATTGAATTTGAAGTTAAGCTTCCGTTTTTGAAACATGGTAATTCCTGTGTAGCAATGGAACCATATTTTTAAATAAGTGTGTGTGTGTATATATATATATATATATATATATATACACACACGTGAATCCTCGTAATTTCAAATATTAAAACTAATCCGCAAGAAGAGCTGAATTATTTATTACAGAGGATATAAATTCCATAGCATAGAAATTCAAATTTACCTCATTCATATAGCTATTTTAACCAACAAGTCTTATGTTGGCCGTGTCAACTCAGAAGTGAGAAGGAATTTAAAATTTAAACATTTACAAAGAAAAAGGAAAAAAAGAGAGAAAGAAGAAAAGAAATGGAGCAGTAGGAGCCAATGAAGAAAATGTAGACATTAAGTTAACCCCACCCAGTATCATGGAAAGGAAAAGGGGAGGTGTGTGGCTTAAAATAGATACAGTTAATGTAACCTTGAACTGTATTTTAAAATATTAAAATCCCCAAGTCAGGTTGAAAATGAATCACAAAATTAAAGATAAGAGTTCAAACCATGTAAAAAAAAAAATTAAAATAGGAAATATTATATAGAAACAAAAGAACAAAGAATATATTTTCTCCCTTTTTTTTTTTTTTTTTTTAAAATATTCCCAATTCTATGCTAGCAAAAAATATAAGAAAAATAGATTATATAAAGAAAATTAACTTAATATTTAAAATTTAAGTTTTTTTAAATGTTAAAATGTATGTAAAATGGGAAAAAAAAAAAAAAAAAAAAAGAAATAATTAAAATAGTAATAAAAACAAAAATAATAAAAAAGCAAGAGAATAAAAAAAGCAAGAGAATAAGAAAAGTTATGAAAGAAAAAAAATGATAAAAAATAAAATCATGAAGATAAAATATCATAAGGGGAAAAATAGAAAAAGATTTTTTAAAATATACAATTAAAAATATATATATTTGTAGTTAAGTAATCCTAAAAGGGTGGAAAAAATTAATAAGGAAAAAGTCAAAGGAAGAGGATAAGCAATTGAATAGGAGGCTGAGGAAGGGGATAAGCAATTGAATAGGAGGCTGAGGAAGAGGATAAGCAATTGAATAGGAGGCTGAGGAAGAGGATAAGCAATTGAATAGGAGGCTGAGGAAGAGGATAAGCAATTGAATAGAGGCTGAGGAAGGGGCAATTGAATAGGAGGCTGAGGAAGAGGATAAGCAATTGAATAGGAGGCTGAGGAAGGGGATAAGCAATTGAATAGGAGGCTGAGGAAGAGGATAAGCAATTGAATAGGAGGCTGAGGAAGGGGATAAGCAATTGAATAGGAGGCTGAGGAAGGGGATAAGCAATTGAATAGGAGGCTGAGGAAGAGGATAAGCAATTGAATAGGAGGCTGAGGAAGGGATAAGCAATTGAATAGGAGGCTGAGGAAGGGGATAAGCAATTGAATAGGAGGCTGAGGAAGAGAAGTGTTAACAATCATGGGAGGTGCATTTCACAAGCAGAGGGAATGTAACTGAGGGAAGAAAAATGTGCAAAAAATAAAAATAAAAAATAAAGAAAGAAAAGTGGAACTACTTTACTGTACCCCTTTAATTTTTTCTCCACTTTAGTATTCTTTGAATTTAATATATATAACTCCCACAACACGAAAACAAACTATCTATTAACAGGACATGAGATCAAGTTGCACATCAGAAGGTCAAAACTGCATTTTTTTTTCTTGTCTAGAAATTCAGATGGAAGAGAAGAAATACAAAAACAATTCTTTTTAAATAAAATTTATTAAACTTCATGTAAATATATCTTACAGTCTCAGTGCTATACAATGTAAACTCTTGTGCTCTGAAGATTTTATGGAGTATATGTAAACCATTCCATATACATATGTGTACAAACAGATCTATGTAGATTTAAAAAACAAAAAATAACGTTAAACAAGTGATGAAACACAGAAGCAGAAGGAATTATCTCCCCTTATTCACCATCATTCTGTGTCGTCATTGGGAAGAAATTGTTGAAGAGGGTTCGACTTTAAAGGAGAAATTCTCTCTATTGAAAAACCAAAAACAGCTTTCGAGTCAGTCAAATAGAATTCACGCAAAGACTCATTTTCAGAATCAAAAACAAAGAGCCAACATAAATTAAGAAATAAGTTATTTTTTTTTCAGTCAACTGACTAAAGATTTTTTAAATTTTCCAACATAAATAAAACTGAACCTTTTTTTTTTTTTTTTTTTTTTTGCAATTATATATTTCAAGATATGGCGCAGGAATAAATAAATAAATCAATGGATATCAGTTTGTCTGTTTTACTTTTAAAGATTTTGCCACTCAACTTCATGCAGATGACGTCCCTCTGAAAGAGGAGAATCAATTTGAAAAATTATTAAATTTCGGTGGAAGGAAAAAAAAAAAATGTCTGCCACTTCTTACATGTCAAGTGGTATTAATACCATTTTCTGGAAGAAAAAAAAAATCTTTTTTTAATTGGAATGCAAGAGGGGTTTGAGGTGTAAAGCTAGAAAAATTAAAAACAAAAACCAGTTACGGTTGTTGTAAATGTTTATTTTTTTTTTTTTTTTATTCTATGCCTTATTGCATTTCTCAGAAATTTTTTTTTTTTTTTCTTATTCTCTACTGAAAATTGGACGGAAGAATTTTCCACACTAACTAGCAAGGTTTTGTTTCTGTTTATCAGACGAAGTAAGGTTTTTGCCAAATGTGTACAGACTCCTTACAACAATCTGGCAAAGGTGCACATAAAAATGTATTAATAAAAAAAAAAAAAAAACAAAACAATGTGGAGAAAAAAAAAATTGTTTGACTTTTCTTTTTGCAAGCCTCAAAGCAAATGGAATGTATGAAAAATAAGCGAGAATGCTCTGGAATCAGAGATGGTTAACAGAGAGACTATCACAGTCCATTTTTACAGAGAATCCTCAACTTCCCATCATGATCAGATGAAACTTTATCAATTGAGTGTACACCTAAGTGAAACATTAAATTTTGCAGATTCAATATGCAACAATCATAATAGCCTATTTTCTTTCCAAGACTAACAAATCAAAATATATTCAACACTGAATTACTTTTATGCAAATAGAATCCTGAAATTTTACCCGTTCTTTCAATTCATATAAATCTGGAATCAATTGTATAATTTTCAGAAACGAGCAGAATCAACCACTTAACCAAGAATCCTTGGAGAATTGCCAGAATTTAAGTCCTGGTTCAGTAATGGCAGTTCTGAAGAATTTGCCCAATTTATAAAGCCACTAGAGTCAACTACTCCCCACCCACAAAATACTAAACTTTTCGGTTTAATCATTTACAAAAAGCGTTTCTGCAGAATTTAAGGCCAATTGATCAAGATGTTCATCTGTAAATTTACCGGAGATTCCCCAGGTCTCGCCACACACGTCTTGCAAATCATGACAGAAATCGTAAATGTTGTTTTCTAGCATTTTTTTTTTAAAGAAAAAGAAGCCATTCCCAACCTGTGGCTTCCTGAATCTTTTGAGGCCAAATCATCTGAAGTGGGAGTGGAATCAAACAGGTGATGAGACCGAGTCATTTGGAAGGCTACCGACCTCCCACCCCAATATCTACATTTGTCAATTGAATACTTTTTGGAAATGCTCAATCTGAAAATCAAATCACATGTAATGCACTGATGAGAGAGAGAGAGAGAGATGGCTTCATTTGATACCTGCCCCCATGTTAATTTTTCAAAATACAGATAAACAAAGGGGGAAGGGGGTGTAGAAAGAAGTTGGACTAATAAAATGGAAAAACTCCCAACAAGTCATTTTTTTTTTTTTTTTTTTTCCAGATGTTTTTATCATTTCAAGCTTTCCAAAAATTATCTGTAATAAAAGCAGCTGATATTTTTTCTAAATGTCAACTCTTGAAAAAATTTTTTTTTTTTTTAAGAGGACGGGGGGAGATGAGAGCAGAGAGGGAGGAAAGGGGAAAATAAGGAAGGAGGAGAAGAGTGGAGGGGAAAGAGGAGAAGAGTGGAGGGGAAAGAGGAGAAGAGTGGAGGGGAAAGAGGAGAAGAGTGGAGGGGAAAAGAGGAGAAGAGTGGAGGGAAAGAGGAGAAGAGTGGAGGGGAAAGAGGAGAAGAGTGGGGGGAAGAGGAGAAGAGTGGGGGGGAAAGAGGAGAAGAGTGGGGGGAAAGAGGAGAAGAGTGGAGGGGGGAGAAGAGTGGGGGAAAGAGGAGAAAGTGGAGGGGAAAGAGGAGAAGAGTGGAAAAGAGGAGAAGAGTGGGGGGAAAGAGGAGAAGAGTGGGGGGAAAGAGGAGAAGAGGGGGGGAAAGAGGAGAAGAGTGGGGGGAAAGAGGAGAAGAGTGGGGAAAGAGGAGATGGAAAAAGATAGAGAAAATGGGAAGAAGAGGGGCATGAAGAGAGAGAGAGAAGGTGGGCATTTTTAATTATACTTCATTTTCAACACGCAAAAGGCTATATATCAGGGCTGACCCATTTTCAAAAACTGAATAGCTGAACATTTCATGGAAGAAGAAACAAATAAAACCACGTAAATGGTTTTAAAAAAATAATATGCTGCCATTAATCAGGCTGTAGTTTGTTGGGTTTTTTTTTGAGCTTCAATTTTCATTTTTAGATTTCCATTTTGGTCAACAAAGCTACTTGACTTTTACAAGTACAAAAAATCTAGAAAAAAGAAAAACTGCCAAAATAAGTCCTGTGAGGAGGGAGAGATATGCTATCATGAAAAAAAGGGGAGGGGAGGAAAGTCCGATCCCAAAGCTAATGGTATATGAAAAGATTTTGTGATCAAAGTGCTGAGTCTGTGAAAGCTCAAAAGAAAATTCAGCTCATAACTGAGACTCAACTATAAGTTGCTATTTACACAAAAGTCAGCACAAGTCCTCACTTAGAACAGCGAGAGAGAGCAGGGCTTCCAAATGAACGCGTAAAGATGTATGGAGAGTTGTTTTCCTTTTTTTTTTTTTTTTTTTTTTAAAATGCCTCTTTTCTTAGATTTCCTCAGGAAACTCATCTGAAATAAGTCCCCCTCCTAAACACTGAATAGAAATTAGCCAACTGCTGGTTGTGACTGATGACCAACAAGATCACCCGAAGCTGCTCAAGTTTCTTTTTCCTTTTTGAGGAGTCCCTCCAGTGGGGTTAGGAACAGCATAGGAGGTGGGGAGTGTTCATTTTTTTCTTCTTTTTTTTTCTTTATTATTTCATCTATTTTTATCAGTGGTTTTCTTCCTGAAGAAATCAAACTGGTGAATAGAGATGTCTGGTTCGTGTAATCAAGTATGGGGAAGGCTCATCTCCATTGTATGGAAAAACAAAATGATCAGGCCGCTGTAAAAAAGAATTAGGAAAAAAAAGAATTAGGAAAAAAAAGAATTAGGAAAAAAAAGAATTAGGAAAAAAAAGAATTAGGAAAAAAAAGAATTAGGAAAAAAAAGAATTAGGAAAAAAAAGAATTAGGAAAAAAACAAAAAAGGTGCAGTCAGCATATTCTGAAGCTCTAACCAACAGGGTGACATGAGTAAGAGTTTCTTAGATAAAATTCAAGTTGGTCAACTTAAATAAAACATTTTTCATTTTATACCATTTCTTGCCTATCAAAAGCAAATCAATAAAATTGGAAGATGTATTTCTCTTTGTGATATAAATTGAAAACGTTAACACTGAGGATAGAAAATAGATTTTCTTTCAATTGTTAAAAGAGGAAAATTATTCCTATCAATAAACCTGATCAAAACTTAAATTTTCTTACCTTTTTCAGAATTGATTTCAAAGGAGTGCTAGTGGTTTTATTATGACTGGCAATTTTATCATATTCCTCTTGGACCAAATTCTCTGACCATTTCAGATGACGAGGACTTCTTGGAGCTTAATGGAAAGAATAAAACAAAATATTTAATTAGATTTTCAAATTATTATAGTCGCTAACAGGGTAGAATAAAACCTGACCCTCAATTAGACAATTTGTATTCAAAATCATATCTGAAATACTCATGTGGCATAGTCAAGTAAACCAGACAGATATTGCAAAGATTATTATATATATTTTAAAAATCAGGTCAGCTGAATCCGCTTATCTTAGTCTCAACTTTATGGTATCCTCAGGCAATTTTTAAATGACCTCTTAACGCTTAATATTTAAAAAAAAAAAAAATAATGAACAAATGCTAAAAGAAGCGGGAATGGAAGAAAAGCAAAGATATTGTAAATATATTGGTGGGCAGTTTTCAGGCTTCATATGTCTCAACCACAACACTTGTAGCCAAATCATAGTTCAAATGATAGTCCGTTGTAACAGTCCAACAGGCAACACAGAAATGACAAAATGTGATCACACATCCAACCTTCACTTCTCACCAGCAAAAATGCATGTTCGTCCACAAAGCTTAGAAAATCTAATCCCACCCATAAGCGAAAAACAACAGCTTTTGTTCACCGAGAGACCTGATTGGTCACGCCATTTAAGGGAGGGAAGGACATTTGCATAGATTCTGGTCCTTAAAGTAGATTTTTGGTAATTTTACTTTAGCAGATCGCGCACAAAACACAAACTCTTTTTCGAGGTAGCTGATTATCTCTTTCACTACATTTACTCCTGTCCACATAATAAACCAAATTCGTTGAACACGAACCAGGTCATGGTTTGGGGGGGGATCAAGTCATTATTGTTTGTATGTAGACATTCCACTCAACCACAATCCTCTCACCACAAATTCACAGATAAAGAAGGAACTAGATGATCTACCAATTTCTGAAGTGTCTAGACCAAACAAGCCATCAGTAGCGATTACAGATGGGACAACTGATACTGCATAGGTTCATATCCTCGTTTACTGCAACAATAAGAAATACAATTAAACAGAAAAAAAAATATGTGAGTACTTGAAACCCACCACTAAATATTTTAATTAAAGAATTTATGATGGCAAAAATTTGCCAACAAGCTGACCTTCTATAATCTTACTGATCTTGGTTGATTTTACAATGTCAACCCTCATTGGGTTATTTAATGTCAAAATAATTTTTTTCTTCTTTTAGTCTAGAACTTATTTTGTTTGGGGAATAAATAAATTTTGATCATTTATCTCCAAGTCTGGAAGCCTTTACTTGGCAGATGGTCCTTTTTGTGGTGGTGGGGTCTGTAGCATTGCAGCTCGGGCAAGACACCAGGTTAATTCTCAGGGTGCAGCTTCTTCCAGCCGAACACTATTTGGCTAGATTGGTACCCATGGAATAAAACTAAAAGACAAAATTGTAGCAATCAGCAAATTTTATTCGTTTGTAACTTTCTGCTCTATAAAAGCAAGGTGGAGTGAGGTGTGTGTGTGGGGGGGGGTGAGTAGTCTCTGTTTTGTATGCTGCCAGGAGCCACTGCCTTATAGAGAAACAGTGTTCTTTGTCCTGTCAAAGTAATTTGACATGGTTCTTATCAGGTCTGCTTCACCCAGCTGAAATGGGACATGAGTATTTTGAAATACGCACCATAATTAAGTAGATTAATTTTTTATATATATATATATATATATATATATATATATATATATATATATCTATATACATCTATATATATATATCTCTCTATATATATATATATATATATATATATATATATATAATGAAATGGATATTTTTTTTATGTTTATACATTCTTTTTATAGATACAAATTCAGGCCGGTAAATGTTATTAATACTGTTTATTATAAAACAGAGCAATTACTTAAACATTTGTATCTATAAAAAGAATAGTTTACATCTGGATACGCTTTGAGCAGATATGAATGTACAGGAGAGATTTATGGAAGATTGAAGTTTATAAACAGTAAAATCGACCTTGCTAATCGAACAAATCTCCGTGGCTCGATCTGTTAAGGCAAATCAGGCTAAATGACGGTTCCATATAGGATATAGGTTCGATCCCTGTCGGTGGACAATATTTTCTATGAAAATTTCTGACACTCAGGTTGGTAAATATTATTAATACTGTTTATTATAAAACAGAGCATTTACTTAAATATTTGTATCTATAAAAGAATGTATAAACATAAAAAATGTCTTTGAAATATATATATATATATATATATATATATATATATATATATATTTTCAGAATGATCCTGAGAGCAATTCACCTGTAGATAGACTAAGTTATTTCAGCCACCCCCAATCCAAGCCAAGAAAAAAACAAAGATTGACTCACGTGGAAAAACTGCAAAACTATCACTCGTCTGTTCTCCAAAGAAAACTCGGGAAGCTACTTGCTGCCCGTTACATGTTGTGTGGATCCAAGTGATTTCATCCAGTTCTGCCTCGGACTGAAATAAACAAATTCAACAAATTAAGGATCGGCTCATCATTCAAGGAGGCGATTAGCAAAATTTACAATTAAGGTGACCTTTTTTAATTTCTTATACATAGCTGCATATTTACTTGTTCAGGATAGTAAGCGTATTTTTTTTTTTTAAACCTTTTTATCACAAGGAAGACATTAATGATTATTTCATTTTCTGTTTTAAGCTTTATCCTACTTTTGATAAAACAGTAATATAAATGTGGCAGGAGCTGGCAAGACTACATTTACCTAGGGTTGTTGTTGGTTTCAATCCTGTTAGGAATGACTACAGGATACTTTCCCCTCCCCAAAGTGGTTTGGTTCATTTCGTGGCGTATCAATCTCAATGGGTTATTTAATGCCGAAAAGATTTTTATTGCTGATAATATTTTTTTTTCCTTCAAAAAATGTATTGCTGGTAATATTTAGTTTCTTCAAAAAAGTATTGCTTGTAATAATGTATTTCTGGTAATAATTTTTCCTCAAAAAATTTATTGCTGTTATTAAAACCTATTTTTACACTTTCATAGTGTTCTGACCCCAGTTTGGGAGTTAACTTTTTGCCCATATTTGGGCCCCAAACAGGTACTACTACCGCAGGTCAGGGTGGACCTAGGAATACCAACAATTAAGAGATGATTCCACACTCCTCAAAACCTAATCAGGTCTTGCTGTTGGACGTAGTTTATTGCCTTACCCAGGACACTCCCTAAAGTGGATTTATACATTTTCTTTCTTGATAATTGACAACAAAATTAATAAACACTATTTATTAGATTGTTTATTTACACTATTATATTATTTATTCGAATGGTTGGTAAAACTTTGGCT